CAGCAGGAAGATGTCCTTGTGCCAAGAAGAAGCACTGAATTTACTCTCCACTGCCTCTTTGCACAAAGTGAATGCAACTGTATTAGAGCGGTATATAAAGTCGAATGTATAAATAAAGTCGAATGTATAAACTGTATCCCCACTGTCACTGCCCACACACACAAGATGTAGCGTACGATGCAGTTTCAAAACTAAATGAAAGGAACTATCTGTTATGCATTCCATTGGTCCATATGCACTCTGAGATACCGTTAAAAAGAGCCAAAGGGCAGCCCTTGTGCTACGGCTTGTGCAAGCAGAGCTAAGCCCAGTGCATTTTTCTTTTCTGTCCATGCATGGCCTTTGGGGGACCCAGACAACTCTTCCACCGTGACCAACTGCTGCAAGTTCATCTCTGCCTGTGCTATGTCTGGCTGCCAACTCTGAACCAACCCTGTGCTGCTGTAGCTATAGCTATATATTGACCCCGGCACAGAGATGTTATTGCCAGCTTGTGGCTGCAGATCACAGATCAGAGGCGGAACTCCAGAGGCTGGTTGAAAAGCTGGCCACCTTTGCTCTGCAATAACCTGTTGCGTGCTGGTGCCTGAAGCAAGGCGTGTCAATAAACCAATTGTTACGGAGTCCTTTTTGTTACCAATTGTTACAGAGTCCTGACTAGGACACAACAAAAGGAAAGTGGGTGCACCCGGCCATTTTTTAAGAAAAGCAGGACAGGGATCCAAAAACAGGAACCGTCCTTGGTGAATAGGGACTGCTGAAGGGTATGACGGAGAAGCTGCAACGTTGCCATGGTGATTTTTATGGGGCGCAAGTCTGGCTAAAAGGGCACAGAAGGGTAGGGGAGACAAGAGAGAGGAGAGGAGAGGAGATTGCTTGGCAACAAGCAGTTGCTTGGCAACAAGCAGTGCTTCAGTTTGTAGTCTTGGCAACCTTTGTTCCGCAGGACGCAGATAAAACCAGAACTCCGTGGTCAGATGAGGCTGGGAGATTTGTGGGGAGTCTCTCCTTGCCCACAGGGCTCCAGTTTGCCTTACAGCCCTCTTAAAACAGGTGTTGCAGCAACTGGGAGTCTCCCGAAAGAAAGCAGCATCCTCCGACCTTGAAACCTCACCTCCTATTTCTCCAGTTGTTGGGGGCAATGTTCCCTCTAAGCTGTCGAGTCGTGTGAGCAGGAATTCTACTTTGTGAGCTACTGGCCTTAAAATTGTGAGCAAGCAATTTGGCTACTGCATAAATTGGTTTGCTCTGGAGCCCCATCCTTCCTGAGCGAAGACAAAAATGTGTGAGCCGGGGGCTAAAAAAATGTGAGCTAGCTCACACTAACTCAGCTTAGAGGGAACACTGGTTGGGGGCTGGCTGCGGTTTGTGCTGCTGGGAGGAGGAGGAGGAGAATACACTGCACTGCTAGGGTGGTTGTCAACAGGCCGGACGGAACACATCCTGCCCCTCTCTTAGAGGTTTAATGTGCGGGAAAAGGAAGCTGAAGCTTTCCAGTGTGTGGAAGTAAAAACCTCAGCAAGCCTGTTCTAGTAAAGAGCCAGGACCTTTTTTCCTCCAGCCTGTTGGCACAACCCAATGCACTGCTCATTCAGGTCAGAAGCTTGGGTTGCCAACATCCAGGTGGAAACTGGTGATCTCCTGGGATTACAACTGATATCTGGATGACGGCGATCATTGAGAGAACTGTCCTTGAAATTGCTTTTAGAGTGCAGCTGATACGGTTTTCACTGTATTTTAAGAGGATCTCAGAGAATGGAGGTCTCCGTGGGGAATACAAGGCTTCCCATGCCCTTTGAAGTGCTGGAAGTACCGGATGTGATGTCCCCTGTCTCAGACCTCCAGACTGAGTGGCAAGAGAGGCTAGATAGCTAGAGAGGCACACTGACCCTTCTTCCCATATTTACTCTTCTACCACTGTCCCCTTTGAAATGCAGATTGTGTCCTCAGGGATTGGTTTCCCCCTCCCTTCCTTCCTCTTACTCTCACTTGAAGATGAACTTTCTCCCTGCGCACACCAAGAGAGAGACATGCAGTCCTCTCTTTGCACCATGAGGCAGATGGGCCTCTCACCATCTGCTTCCATCCTTTAACTAGTAAGTTATCATGTTCCTATCATGTCTCTACTCTTTCCTATCCAAAGTGTACTTCTCAAATAAAGAGAGAAGCAGGGGTCATTTCATAGAAAAAGATGTGCAGGAGCTCATTAGAATAACTCATTAGCATAACTTATTTGCATATGCCACACCCCCTGACATCACTGGAAGTGTGTCAGAAGGCAACACCCACCACTCAGGCTCCACTGGACTGTTTTGGATTGCTAGCTATTGGGCGCAGATCTGTCCTCGCAGAGGAGGGAGAGCTTGTACCTGAATAAGACTTGGTCTTACAGGTGCCACTGGACTGTTTTGGACCGGGGGGGCTGGGGGCCGGGGGGAGCTCTGCAGCTTACCTGGCTGCTTCTTGCTCTGACTGAGGGCTGCTGGGAGCAGGGGGTGGGGCTTGTTGCATGTGCCCGCCCCCTGGGCTCTTTACTGCCGGAGCTCCACTCCTGTGCACTCCTGCAGGAAATGACCCCTGGAGAGAAGTATTTCTCTTCCAAACTTGCAATGTGGCTCTGTGTAAATCTGTAAGATGAATAACCTGGTAAAATGACACGCCTGCATTTGTAGCTTTATTTAAGGACTCTGCTAGCTAGTGGTGACCGGACTAACCACACCAGTTAACCTCCATATGAAGCTGTCCAGTCTGCAGCATGGGGTAGTGGGGCAGAAGGAGAGGGCTTGGAAGAGGTATCTGAAAATGTTTTGAAATCAAAATAAGGTCCCCCTGCGTTGCTAACGTTTGAGAACCGCTGCTGTAACAAATGACACAAGTCACAAGGTCTCTTTTTGACTTTATGTTACACGGGGAATGTCAAAGGATGAGGCACGGAGAACGAACGTAACACCTCCATGGAATTTACCTTAGCGGTTCTTGGATTGCCTGCAGCCAAGACCAGCAGTAGGCGAGGAGGTGAAACATGCTCCGTCAAACCACAGAACTTGGCTGTTCTCTGTGCCTGAAGAAACATTAAAAATACCAAGAAATCTGCAGTGGGATTTTATTTTAAAAAGGCAGGATAACATCATGAAGTATTAATAACCATAAATACCTTATCTCTGGCATCCACAAGTGAAGCAAACTGATGTAACCCTGGACTAACAACTGCTAGCTTAGGTTTAGCTGCCAAGAATGCAGACTTGTTGCTTGACAGGCACAAAAGGACTGAGAAGACTCAGCAGGGGTCATTTTGTAGAAAAAGAGCTGCAGGAGCTCATTAGCATAACTTATTAGCATATGCCACACCCCCTGACATCACCGGAAGTGTGCACCAGCCCCTCTGACAGGCAGAAGCACCTGGGATCCATTCTTTCCCCCCTCTCCCCTACAACTGTATAAAGCCCCTACAACTGTATACAGAAATACTGAGCTTCCCTACCATTTGCCACAACTAGCCCACCACACAACCAGGATCAAGACTCCTAAGTGGACCAACAGATAGGGATAAACTCATTTGAGAAACTGAGTATTACATTACAACACCTCTGGAACATTACAGATCAGTAGAGGCAGCCCTGCACAGTGGTCAGAGTTGCAGATTGATGTGGGGAGACCCAGGTTTGTATTCTCACTCTGCTGGCTGAGTGACCCCGGGCCAAATCTCCCCTTCTCTACCTAACCTACCCCACAGGGTTGTTGTGAGGATGAAATGGAGACTCATGGGCAGGGTCCCCAGCTTCCCTGGCAGGAACACTATGTTAAGAAATCTCTCACAATTATGCAGCCATAGCAGGCAGGAGGAAAGGAGGCGAATACCTCCAGCGCCAGAGACTTGTAGAAGAAGAGTCAAACTTTGGGGACTCACCCATGCACCAGAGGGCCAAGGCAGCAGGAGGCAAGAAGCCTGGGCGAGCTGGGCTCCTCCATGCCTGGCAGAAGATGAGGTGCAAAGCCAAGAGGTGGGCAAGCAGAAGAGGCACTCAGCCAGCCGCACAAGCTGCATGCAAAGAAACTCCACTGCGCTTTTGGTTTTGCTTTTTGCCAATCAACCTCCCAAGACTACTCCAGGTGCTCCGGCCTGAGGGCTGCTGGGGGTGGGGCTCGAGTGCTCATTACTTGTGGAGCTGAGGCTCAATGTCTCCAGCTGCTCCGCCACCTTCCTTTCCCTTGGTTTGCTCGGGGAGCCCGAGCAAGCCGGCTGCTGGAGGGAAGGAGAGGCGGTTTAAACCACCTTCCCTTCCCTTGGCTTCCTCAGGATCCCCGCGGCTGCAGAGAGCCTGAGCAAGCCGGCTGCTGGAGGGATGTGCATTCGGTTTGTCTGAACCGAATGCACCCCCGAAAATGGCCCATTCGGGCCCCTTTCAGGCTGCTGCGGGCTGAATCAGATTCTCTGATCTGAATCGGCTTCCTGCAGTTCTGCCCCATTATATCCTATGGGCCATTGAAGTCAATGGCAAAAACATAGGGTATATTCTGGGGGCTGGAGGGGAAGGGGTTTGAGGGAGAGGCTCCAAAATCGCAGGGTAGCTGCTGGAGCCTCTCCCCAAGATATCCACCATGTTTCAGGAACATTGAACCAGGGGGTCCAATTCTACGGGCCCCCAAACAAGTTGCCCCCATTCCCTCCATTGTTCTCTATGGTGGGGAACATTGGTGATGCACACGGATTTGAATTCAGTTAAGTTTGTTGTGTTCAGTAGCCTTTGAATGACGGTAACCTTTGCTGTCTTTTTCTCAAATGACATATTTAGTTTCATTTTATGGAGACAGAATTGGAAGGTGTTTTGATCAAAAGGTTTACGTTTTTGGGACCCAGTCTGGTGTGGTGGTTGCAGAGATGAACCACGACCTGGGAGACCTGGGTTCAGATCTCCACTCTGCAATGGAAGCTTGCTGGGCCAGTCACACATTCTCAGCCTAACCTACCTCACAGGGTTGTTGTGAGGATAAAATGGAAAAGGGAAGAATGTTGTAAGCCACTTTGGGTTCTCACTGGGGAGGAAGGTGAGGTATCAAAATGCTTTCTATTCTGACTGGCAGTAGATCTCTAGACATGTTTTCTCAATTTTCTAGACTGCTTGTTTTTTTCTTTTAAACAAGGCAAGATAAGTGTTCCCACATTGGAACCGTATAGTGATGGAGCATGGAATCTTTTGAAGAATGTCCTTAATGGTAATTTTTTTGGAAGTGATAAAGCAATATTATCATTATTTTTGGCCCCCCGTAGGGGATTTTTAAATTTGCATTTTCTAAAAACTACAACAAAAATAGGGAGGGGATCTACATCTATAGGAGAAAGGAAAGAAAACCCACTAAAAACCCAAGAGTTGGAGGTCATACACTGCTTATAAAAGTATTAGCTTAACAATATAACAGCACCAATCAAAACCATTCCCTCCAGAAGGCATACCAATGGTCAGTATTTACAATCCGCATAATGAGCGATGTTAAATAGGCTTCACTTTATGTTTTCTCAAGACATAACAGGTTGGACCCTGAGGAGGACAGGGTTTGGGAAGGGGCTTCATTGGGTTATAATGCCATAACCTTCTAAAGCGGCCATTCTCTTTGGGTGAATTGATCTGTCGCCTGGAGATCAGTTGTAATCCCAGGAGCTCTCCAGCCACCACCTGGAAGGTGGCAACCCTCCCAGGAAACCATGAATTCTGGATACCTGCCTGCACTATGGGTACCACAAATGGGACAGCCAGCAGGGGTTGTGGCATGCTTGGGAAAGAAGCTGGGTGATAAAATGACAATTCTTAAAATGATAATTCTTAAAAGAAACACTATCCTAAATGGTCCACAGGCGCAAGCCCTCCAAGGGGCCGTAACAGTCCATAGGAAAAAAACATACTGTCCAGTATACCCCGATGGTATCATACATGATGGTCAGGCCATTTCAAAGAAAATCCTTCATCAAAGGGAATAGTAAGTCAAGGTAGGTACAACGACCATGCACAAATCAAAGATCTATTTTGTATTAAGTGACGTCCAAAGCCTCTTAACAAATTCACAGCCCAATGGTATCAAATCTAGGAGGCAAAAAGACACAAAGGCAGGGCATAATGATGTCCAGTCCAGACCATCCATCCATCTTTGGAGGGGATTTAGCACAGTCCTTTAAACAGAGTGATGCCAGGCCCAATACCAATGCTGTACAGTCATTTTCCCCATCCTGTTCTGCCTGCTGCAAAGCAGCCCTGAAGCACCTTTTGTTAATAGCACCCAGCCACTGTCAGCTGGGGCAGGAGTCATCGTGCCTGTCTCACTGTCTTGAAAAATGTTCAAGCAACACAGCACTCTGATCTTGCACAGATGAGACGTTAAGATACACAGAGCACCTGCCTGAACTTCTGCCTTCCCACTGTGGAACACTTGTGGAGATTTTTTGCAACCTGCAGTTCCTTAACTCTGAAATAGACAGTTCTGCACCAAGTTTCCAAACTGGAGAGTGTTGACAAAATGATTAAAATAATTTTCCTGTTTTATATTTTAAAGGAAAGTCCAATCTTCCAAAAGACCTGCCTATATTTCCAGAAAACCTGCAACTCAGTACCAATTTGGGACACCATGACTGGCTCCCCCAAAACAGTTTTTGGCTTTCAAAGGCAGCTGGGTTGGGGGAATCAAGGCCAGGGGGCTGAGGAAGGGGGTAAGTCTCCCCCCTGTGCCATTTCCTGGATTTAAGATGGCCCCTCTGGACTGGGATTTTTCTCCCCATACTAGGGCTAAAAACCACAGGTCCAGAACACATGAAACCCACATTACTTTTGCAGCAGAAGCACTTGTAGGCTGCTTTTAGGATCAAACACATGCTGAGAGAGCCAGTCATAGAACTCCAACATCAAATGCAGCTTGACCCCCTGACAATGGCATTCTAAGAACACTTTCCCTGGAGTAAGCCCCCTTGAGTAGTCTTGAGTAGATGCTGAGTCTTGGATTGCTGTCTAGGATTGCTCTAGCAGCATTTACAAACTTGAGAGGCATTCCAAAGCAAGACAGAAGGAAAAACATGAACTTGCTCCACTGTGGCTATATTTGTGCATTTGCACACATGTTTAACCAGGGCCGAGATGAATCCCTTCACCCCACTCCCAGGATTTAATTTCCAAAGATTGAGAGGAGTTTATCAATGCAATCCTAAACAATTCTACTGCATGCTCACGATTTTTTTTACCCCTAACGTCTTTCTAAAAGGAGAAATAGGTACAGCGATTTCCTAAAAAATAGGATCTGTCCTCCTAGTGCATACCCAAGTGACATCTCCAGACTGGGGTCTGACAACTCTGTTCTTGTACATTTCTCCTCTTTATTGACATACTGATTCAGGATTTGGTTAGGGAAGAGATGCATGTTTCCTTAGTCCAGAACTCTTACCTTTTCTTTTCCCCAGGATTGTACCCTTTCTTTTAGGAAAATGAAAACATCCCCACTACAGACAATCAGGTTTAACAGAAAGGCTCCGCTCTCTCACCTTTCAGGTAATTTGTGGGGCCATTTTTCCTGGCCTGGGAACCAACCAGATAAGGCCCATTGGGTTAAGGAGGTTAAATTAAACAGAGAATCTCACCAGTTTCTTGCTGCGATCACGTTCTTCTTCCTGCCATCACTGTTCTGCTTCATTCAACTAAAACTAATCTGGATTTAAAGTACTCAGTACCTGTAGTTTCCTTAATCCTGGAATAGGTTCAAGCCAGGAAAAGAGCGAAGTGTCATTTTGTAGATTCCGCAGCTCCAGCCATAAATGTTAAGGTGTGCAAAGGGTAGACAGCCACATTTCTGAAAAGGTGATCTCTAAGGCGCCTGGGGGAAAGTAGCAATCAGATCTGTCACCAGTTTTAAATGGCTTGAAAAAACAGAAGATGCCAATTGGACAGTGTAGTAAATCTCTTGTAATGAATCCCTTCATGGAGCAGTCATGGGTTGACATAATCTCTGGATTGAATGAACAGCACAAGCGTTCTCTGCTGTTATTTTGCAGACAAGTGGAAAACTGAAACCCAGTGCACAGAACAAAGTGGGAAAAGTAGATGGGGGAGGCCTACGTTCAAATTCCCAAGCAGCTCTTTAACAGTGCAATCCTAAAACAGAGTTACAACCTTTTAAGCCCCCTGACTTCAATGCACTTTGCTTAGGTCACCAGATGTGATCTCCAGCCCGGCAAGCGCTCTCAGCCCCCCTTATCTCACAGCATTGTTGTGGGGCTAAAATAGGGCCACTCACTCCATATTATTATCATTAACAACAGTGGAGGGAGTCTTCGTGGAATATTGAAGGTTAAGGCTTTAAGATGTGGTGAGTCACAAGTGATTACTGTGAACTGCTGCAAGGTTTATTGTAATTAGCGGGATAACCTGAGATGTTATTCAGACCTCTGATGAGATTGTTAAACACTGATAATTAGTCTATCAAATTGTTGTCCTGCCCATCTTCCAAGGAGGGCAGGGCGGCTTCTCTGGTTCTTCCAAACATTTTGATAACACTGCAAAATAGGTTACGGGAAAAGAGAGAACAACTGGACCTAGGTTCCTGAATAAGTTGGGGGGCACATTTGAACTCAGATCCCAAAAACTGGGCACCCCTCTAATTCACCACACCACCACATAGGCTTGCATAAGACCATAACTGGTTCCTTAGAATAAGGGTGGGATGCAAATATTATTATTGTTGTTGTTGTTGTTGTTATTATTATTATTATTATTGATGATGATGATGATGATGATGTAATCGGATAGTGCTGTTCATTCTTGATAACCGTGGTTTCACCAGGCCTAGCAAGCAGAAGGTCTTGATGGACAATTGCTCAGTGCTGCCTCTGGCTGCATTTTAACTTTTGCACAATCCAAGAGAGCAATGCAAAAGAAGGTCTCACTGTTCTTTGGACCTTTTTCTGGGTGAAACACTGCACAAGTGTTAAAAAGATGAGAAGTGTGATTTGCTAATTGACTGGCAAAAGGATGGTCAGTGAGAAAATGAGACTCATCCCCCCCCCAGCAAGAAAAAGGGGAGGAATATGATCATTAACTACCACATCACACTGCCCAATTCCTGCCACAGGAGAGAGTCACTGGGGTGGGGAGACGACAGCCTGCTCTACAGGCTGGTTGACTGTCAATTTTAGGCTGGCACACGGTGAGTCAACCACACTGGAAAGGGAGATGCTGAGGCCAAGAGTCATCAGACATCCATTTTTAAAGCACTCTAAGTATCCATTGGAGCTGCAGTGGCTCAAGTGGTTAAGACGCTGAACTGCAGGCTGTGGAAGGTCGGTAGTTCAGCAGTTCGAGACCCGAGTGTGCCGCATGACGGAGTGAGCTCCCGTCTCTGGTTCCAGCTCCTGCCAACCTAGCAGTTCGAAAGCAAGAAATTGCAGGTAGATAAATAGGTACCTCCTGCCAACCTAGCAGTCCGAAAGCAAGATATTGCAAGTAAATAAATAGGTACCACTTCGGTGGGAAGGTAACAGTGTTCCATGCACCTTGGTGTTTAGTCATGCCGGCCACATGACCATGGAAATGTCTTCGGACAGCGCTGGCTCTTTGGCTTTGAAACGGAGATGAGCACCGCAACCCTAGAGTCGGATTTGACTGGCTTTCGAGCAAGGGAACCTTTACTTTACTTTTTAAATAGGTACCACTTCAGTGGGAAAGTAACAGCGTTCCATGCACCTTGGTGTTTAGTCATGCCGGCCACATGACCACGGAAACGTCTTCGGACAGTGCTGGCTCTTCGGCTTTGAAACGGAGATGAGCACCGCAACCCTAGAATCGGATGCGACTGGCTTTTGAGCAAGGGAACCTTTACCTTTACCTAAGTATCCATTAAGAACTGACTCAGTTAATATTCATTATCACCACTTGAGAGTTCTGCTTTTTCTGGTTAAAATAATCCAATACCACCTCCCACTGGTGTGAGAGAAAACTCACTTGTCTAACTGAAACTGCTGGCCTAAAATGCCCTGCAACTTGACTCAAGTGCTCCCCCCCCCCCCCCCCCCCAAGGAAGCCTCTTTATACCAAGTCACACCTCTGAATCATCTAGCTCACTACTGTCTGTCTACTCTAACTGGCAGCAACTCTGGAGTTTCAGGCAGAGAAAGATCTCCTCCAATACTTGCTGCTAGGTCCTTTAAGGCCAAGGGTTGAGGCCAGAAATGGTTGTGTGCATGGCAGAATGTCCAGGAAGGCAATGCCAGTGCCAGGGCACATGGCATCTCTTCCTTTGCTCTCTTCTTTTGCTTTGCTCACTTCTTTCCTGCTTCTTTCCAACTCCGATTGAGGAATTCTTGGAGATGGCAGGATTTGGGGGAGGGGAGGGACCTCAGTGGGGTATAATCAGGGGTCATTTCGTAGAAAAAGAGGTGCAGGAGCTCATTAGCATAACTCATTAGCATAACTCATTTGCATATGCCACACCCCATGACATCACCGGAAGTGTGTCAGAAGGCAACACCCACTGCTCAGGCTCCACTGGACTGTTTTGGATTGCTAGCTATTGGGGGGGGGGGAACGCGCAGATCTGTCCTCGCAGAGGAGGGAGAGCTTGTACCTGTATAAACCTTGGTCTTAAAGGTGCCACTGGACTGTTTTGGATTGCTATCGGGGGGCGGGGGGCTCTGCAACTTACCTGGCTGCTTCTTGCTCCTTGTGGCCTGGGGCTGCTGAGAGCAGGGGGCGGGGCTTGTTGCATGTGCCATGCACACAACCCTGGGCTCTTTACTTCTGGAGCTCCGCTCCTGTGCGCTCCTGCAGGAAATGACCCCTGGGTATAATGCCTTAGAGTCCACCCTCTAAAGCAGCCATTTTCTCCAGGGGAACTCATCTCTGCAGTCTGGAGCTCAGTTGTAATTCTGGGAGGTCGCCAGGCCCCACCTGGAGGCTGGCAGCTTAAAAGGTTGGGAAAACTTGCATTGGGAGGACCGACACTTAATACTGCATTTCTGAACTCTCGCATGTACACACCAACAGCAGGAGGGAGGCCCCCCACCCCAAATGCTCTAACTGGCACATGTGAAGTTGGGTGTGCTGGAGCTACAAGAGAGACACAACACATGTGAACAGTTTGGGCTGACACTTGTTCTTTGGGCAGGGCTCCTGCACCTGCCTGGGACCTTCTGCTCTGCTACCTGTTATGGCCCCTCCCTGCAGAAAAAAAGCAGATAATGCAGCAGAAAAGGCAGAATAGATGGAGGAGAAGGATCATGATGATGCCTTTAAGAGGCTTAAAGGCCATGCTATTTTGGTCACAAGAGAGACACAACACATGTGAACAGTTCGGGCTGTCACTTGTTCTTTGGGTAGGGCTCCTGCACCTGCCTGGGACCAATGTTCCTTCTAAGCTGTGGAGTCTTGTGAGCCAAAGTTCTACTTTGTGAGCTACTGGCATTAATGTTGTGAGCAAGCAATTTAATTAGTTTGCTCTGGAGCCATCCTTCCTGAGCTAAGACAAAAATGTGTGAGCTGGAAGCTAAAAAACTGTGAGCGAACTCAGACTAGCTCAGCTTAGAGGGAACACTGCCTGGGCCCTTCTGCTCTGCTGCCTGTTATGGCCCCTCCCTGCAGAAAAAAGCAGATAATGCAGCAGAAAAGGCAGAATAGATGGAGGAGAAGGATCATGATGATGCCTTTAAGAGGCTTAAAGGCCATGCTATTTTGGTCAGAGGAGATCAGGAGGGGAGGGGAGGGAAGTCGGAATCACTGGGCAGGCAGAATGCTTCTTGCAAGCAGTGCAGTTGGGTAAATTCCCTGTTGCACACACGAAGAGGAACAGACTGATTAAGGTGACTCGCAGGCCACAATAGAGCAAGGCAGTGATGTGCTGGCTGGCACTGTTGTCCGTGTGAATGCTCTGACATCCATGCGCAATGGGGGTAAAGATGCATCAGTCACCTACTCTGGGGAAAAAAATACCCACTCTAGGGATTCATGGTTGGTTCTCCAGATCCGTACTTCACCCTTAAAAGGCAGGTTTCGAGGGTGGGTGGAGCTGAAGTGGGGCGGGGATGGACCCCCCCCACTTTCCTGATAGAAATCATTTATTGCTCTTAACCCCTACTGGAAGAAAAGAAAGAGACAAGTACAGTTTTTAAAAGGCACTCCCAAAAGGTAGAATGAGGACGGATCGGGGTCAAGTAGTGGAAAACAAAGACTGTCCATAGTAAAGAGCAGGGGTCGTTTCGTAGAAAAAGAGCTAGGGGAACTCATTAGCATAACTCATTAGCATATGCCACACCCCCTGACATCACCGGAAGTGTGTCATAAGGCCACACCCCCTGAATGCGCTCGCCCGCTTTGGGAGAGGGGATCAAAGTGTAATACAAGCCTCCTCCGAGACTTGATCACACTAGGGATTCATGGTTGGTTCTCCAGATCTGTACTTTACCCTTAAAAGGCAGGTTTGGAAGGTGGGTGGGGCTGAAGAGGGGTGGGAATGGACACTCCCCCCGCACCACTTTCCTGATAGAAATCATTTATTGCTCTGAACCCCTACTGGAAGAAAAGAAAGAGACAAGTACAGTTTTTAAAAGGCGCTCCCGAAAGGGAGAATGGGGATGGATCGGGGTCAAGTAGTGGAAAACAGAGACTGTCCATAGTAAAGAGGAGCATTTAGAGTATGCAAAACATTTTCCGTTATTCCTGGAATTCTGATTTCAAGGGGAAAGGTGGCTCATGTGAGCTGGACAAGTCTGGCAAAGCTGTCTGGGGACAAATCTCACACTGCCCTTTGCATCGAACAAGCAAAACCTTTAGAACAACACACAATATTGTTATTATTTTAAATCTGC